CTCATTTGAGAATTTGGCTCCTTGTTGCAGTTGGTGATGCTGTGAATTTGCAGTTGTCAATTGATGCCATTCAGGACAAGCTTGAATTTAATAATACAAGTGAGATTTCCCAGCCAACAGGTATAATGCTTGCTAAAAGTTCGATATTTCCTAGGATCAGTCGGCACGACTGAATGTGTTTAAGCAGAAAGGCCATTTGATGCAGGAACTTAGTTTCAAATTCTTCCCTTTTCATTGCAGTTGATAATGCTGCATTGCAAGTGACTACGATAAATGCTGCTCGAGATATTGTTATAGTTAACCACACGAGTGAAATCTCCCGACCAACAGGTAAAATTTTACTAAAGAGGTGATTTTTTTTTATCATCAGTACTCGATAATAATAGAGGAAAATCCTACCTATTGTACTGTTGAGTATGAAATAATCATAGAAGTCCTCTTGATAAAGGGAACTCAGTTTGAATTTTTTCCCTTCTATTACAGTTGAAAATGCTGTGAATTTGTCTATCGTCGAGACTGTTCCAAATAAGCTTATAGTTAACAACACGATGGAAAGCTTCCGGCCAACAGGTACGCGTGCTAGTACTTTTTAAGTACTGATAAGAAAGCTTGCTGAAAGGCCATCAGTTTCTCACTTTGAATTCTGAACTCAGTTTCTCATTTGCAGCAATTGAAAATATGAAAATTGAGCCAATATGCAGCATTTTAAAACCAATGGCAGACTATTGTGAAATCGAGGGGGACGTGAGGATTCAAGCGAATTCTTCCACTGTGTTTTTTGTGAAGTCTGGTATAAACGTCTCGGCTGGAAACAATTCTTGGCATGTTCAACCTTACGCAAGAAAGGCGAATTTAGGTGCAATGCAGTATGTTAAGAACTGGACAGTGACGTTAGTGAATAATAAGGATGACATTCCAGTGTGTACAAAAAATCATAGTTTTCCAGCCATCCTTTTCTCAGTAGGAGGATACACAGGTAACCATTTCCATGATTTCTCAGATTTGGTGATTCCAGTATATTCGACATCATTGAGGTTCAAAAAGGACGTATATTTTCTTACGACCGATACAAAACAGTGGTGGGTATCAAAATTCCGAGGATTGTTTAACGAACTATCCCGACATGAGATCATCGACATAGACAAAGAAAAAGAAGTCCATTGCTACACAAAAGTCATCGTTGGCCTTAAATCTCACAAAGAGCTTATAATCAATCCATCAAAATCTCGAAACAATGAATTGTCGATGCACAATTTCAGACAGTTCCTTCGACAAACTTACTCACTCGAGAGAGCGAAGGCGATAGAATTGAAGAAGGGGGAGAAGAAAAGGCCACGTTTGATGATGATATCGAGGAAAAGGACTCGTTTCGTAACAAACGACGCTGAAATAACTCAACTGGCTCGCAAAATGGGATTCGAAGTTATTGTAGACGAGGCTGATCATTCGACAAACCTTTCAAGATTTGCACAAATAGTGAATTCTTGTGATGTACTAATGGGAATTCATGGAGCTGGATTAACAAACATGGTTTTTCTCCCGGATAACGCGGTTTTAATCCAAATAATTCCATTAGGAGGCATTGATGGATTTGCTAGAACAGATTTTGGAGAACCATCTGATGGTATGAACTTAAAGTACTTGGAATACAAGATTAAGGTTAAAGAGAGTTCTTTGAGTAAACAGTATCCGTTGGATCATCCAGTTATTAAAGATCCAAGATCTGTCCATATCAAGGGTTGGGCTGTTCTTAGGAAAACATACTTGGACCAGCAAAATGTGACAATTGATTTGCATAGGTTTAGAGGAACATTGGCTAAAGCTATGAAGATTTTACACGATTAGTTGACTTACATGTTATGTACTTATTTCTGTTCATTTTTATGTATTCTTTTCAATTATCTATTCATGTGGGAAAGATCTGGTTTTGTAATCTTGGTTTCCCACTCCACCCCCACCAAACCTTATTTGTTACTTCTTACATCGACTCCAAAACAATAAAGGGTGAAGGGTTGAAGGATCAAATTGGGTTCAAATGAGTTAGAATGAGGGTGGGTCCAGTGGCCTAGAGTCCACGGAGGTCATGTTGGGGCTCGTTTTTTATGAGACGAGCTTGTTCAGTTCAACTTGTCAAAACTTATGTTTTGAAATGATCCTTTTTACACCTTTATATAGTTCAAATGTCGGAAGATAATTTTGTCTCTCGATTATTTGGAAAGTTGGTAAAATATACAAGTTTGGAGTGGGAGAGTGGTTTAAATATGTCAATCGTACTAAAGTTTCTTAAATGGTTTCAAGTCATCATTGAACTTTAAAAGTTTTCAAGTAAACACTGATTTTCTTAAAATATTTCTAGGTTGTCATTGATCTTTAAAAATTTTCGGAGTTGCAACCGAAGTTATCAAAATATTATTTCATACGTTATTAACTCTTTTAAAAATTAACAGAGTTGATAAAATGGAAGGAGAAATTTTCACACATGGCATGCTTCGAAATTAGTATATGCCACATCATCAAAACTGCGAGTGACATGCGATTACAAAAAAGGTGAGTGACGAGTGACATATAAGATTTGATAAGTTAATCGGTAAATCGGAAAACTTTTAAAAATTTAATGACAAGTGAAAAATATTTGAGAAAGTTTAGTGACAGCTAAGATATTTAACCCTAGGAGCGTAATGAATGTTTTGAAATTTAAAATGGTCAAAAAATATTGATAAGAGGATCAAATTCTTGATTCATGAAAGTTCAAGACTACTATTACAAATTTCTCTATTTTCAATTGTGAAAAAATCTCTCTCGACACCGACACTGCACAAAAACACGCTTTCTGAAAGAATTTAATTGATAACGAGAAAGATAACAAAGATTTGCTCAAGTCAGCAATTTATTTGTGGAATACTTCTTTTTATTTAATTTATGATGGGCTCAATTATTATATAATAAAATGAAGTTTTTATAAAGAATCTTTAAAGAATAATTTGATAGAAATGGGTAGTTGAAATGAATAATAATTATTTGTCTCAATAAATGTTTGATGAAATCGATATTTGATTTTGACCTTAAAATTATAATGAGATGTCAATGAAATCCAAACAAGCAATAAGGGTAAGAAATTGATTTATAGACTTTAGATTTTATATGTACATGAAATTAGCCATGTCAACGAGTCGAGTCGAAACTCAAAACTTGGGTTCGGCTCGAGCAAAACAGGTCCTGAGCTCTTTTGAGCCTGAACCGAGCCGAGCAAAAGCTCGACCAAAAAATGAAGCTCGACCCAAGCTT